ATTGTTTGATCTTGTGATCCTGACATTTTTTTGCCATGACTAACCTATTATAAAAAATGATAAAACTGTATAAGTCATTAATTTATGCATATTTTTCTAGAAATGATGTCAAATAAAATATATTTATAGTATGAATATTATATCATATTGTAATCATGATAGCGATTTTTATATCACTCAATTCTTCTTACAAAGAATTGAGTAGTATAAAAATCATTACTCTAATTACTGGATCATAATTTATTTCCATGCTTACTTTATATTATATATCTACAAACTTATGATATTTTGCAATAAAGCATAATCATTAAACTTTATTAGATAGCTGTAAAAGCTTTGAATTATATATTCTTAATCTATTGTAAAAAGAAGAACATTCTCATTTTCTTTAATCATTATATTATTATTTTCTTTATCCTCAAAATCCTCCTCATTTTCATTAGAATCACCAGAATCTATATCAGAATTATTTTCATTAGCTTCATTAGTTTTATTATCAAGGATTTCGTCATGATATATTTTACTATCTTTTAATCTATCTATAGTATTAGAAATAGAATACTTGCAAAAAGTATAATGAATAATCTCAGGATCAATTTCTGCTAACATAACAAGCACCAACTTACAAACTATATATAGTTTAGTGTGTTTAAGGTTTCCTTTTTTAGTTTTGCCAGACCCACTATTTGTCATCTATTTATACTAGTAGTTACGAAGTACTATTTTAAAGAGGTAGTTAATTGAAACATCAAGCAGTTGGCATACAGAAGTTAACCTACTGAGAATTACAACAAGGTTATTGTTATTCTCTTAAAGCTTCTTTTTAACTGCATTAGTAATATGTACTCTAAATGAATTAAAGACAAGAAGAAAGAGTTCATTTTTCTAACTACCTAAACGATCTTCTATATAGTTATTGGCCTATAACAATATATTAGGTTTATCTATTCAACTTTTTTCATAAAAAAAAAACAATTACACTAGAAGGAGAAGAAGCCTTAGTCTTAGCTCATCTTTAACTCTTGAATATAACTGTGGACAGAAGCTTTTGTCTATCAGCAAAGTATATCAGAACTATAGTAAAGCAATTCTTCTCATTACCAGTTGTATGTATATGGACTGTTTTGGCACAAATTTGTTCAACAGTCAGATCACCAGCTATGTTAAACCAAACAGGAGTTTTGTTCATATTTGTGATATTGCTCAAAGAGTAGTTTCTCTTAAAGCATAACTGAATTATATATCATTGAAAATTGAGCAATTGCTGCTCAAGATCAATAGGCAATTTTTGTGCTATTTTTGTTTTATAGCATAAAGCAAGATTATAGCATTTTAAAAAACATTTTAACTATATTGAGGATGCCTTAAAATTATTTGCAAGTTGTTTTTTTTTTGAGATTATTACTTTTTGATACTATTTCAGAGATAATTCTTAACATTTCGAACTTGAGACTATTGTATGTTATAGCAACATAAGAAAAATTTTTTAGTAGAATTCTGCACAGATTTGCAAAAAAAGTATATAATAAATTAAATAAAAATCTGTACAAAACTTCAAACTCACTAGCTATAACCAAAGAAATTAAATACAATTCTGTATAAAACTTCAAATTTTAAAAAATTTTGTAGATTTTTTATTAAAATTCTGCAAAAAT